CATTACATTTTAATATAATGACACATCTTCTCAATAACAACCAGTAATCCATTGATTGTAATTGTTAATTTTTTTACTTCAGCAGGTTCAGCTTCCGACATGGTAGTTTGCTTTGTTATTATATTGTTTGCCATCTTCCTATAATTTCATCTTCACAACTGACCATAGATTTTCAACTGGACTTCTATTATCTTCTCTCCTGTAAATTTTTTATGATCAAAAAATTCACGGGTGAGCTTAGATACATAAGAAGGAGCATTGTCATGCATAAATACACACTTCACTTTGAAACTGTGAGATTGGGACTTGTACCATGCAAAGAATGTCTTGTTTATTAAATTGCAATAGTTAGCACTGATTTTAACTTCTTCATCGACTTTGAATGGTTCAATAATGGTTTGGTCAACAATTCCAGCTCATATAATGACACTACCGCTGCCTTCTTGTTGCTTTCTTTTAACCACAGGCAAATCTGAATTGGATAAATCCATCCTTTGGTCCATCCATCAGGTTCATCAAATGTCATTCTAGATTCATCCTTGAAAATTACTTTAGAAAAGTCAATTTTCATGCATTCCTTGGCCCAAATTTGACGCTTTAAAATATTTGCTTTAGTGAGAGGAAATTTTTGTTACAGATCCAAATTCACAAGGACACACGGAACAGTAGATAAAGGCGTTAGTTACATCCAGTGACAGGACCCAAAGAGTGTGAGTTCAATACCCGGATAAGGCAGTGGAGAACTTTCAAAGGGAAATTAACAGGAGATAACTGATAACTGACATCAATTAAACATGGCACGTGGAACTAGAACAGTCTAACCCAGTGAGCGAAATAAAGGGTTCAGTTCGACATTCCAATCACCTGAAGAAGGCCGGAGCGTACAACGGCCGAAATGTTGTAATAAATATGGCGACAAAGATGAGGACAATAGTCCGAATAATGTAAATAATGAACCTTGATTCTACTTTGTTTGGCTTTAATTCATTGCGATATAATGCGTCATTATTTTCCGAACACATTCATATAATTTCCGGATTATCCGACGCCAAATGCATCACTCGTTTTATTCGGATCTATTTTAATCTTTGATAGATTTTCTGAAGTCTATTTGGAACTTCAAATCACTTCCTCTGTTGCCTCTTAACGCTGAATTCCGTTTCTTCTTTACAATAAAAAAAAAACAGTTGGTAAAGGTATTTTGAGTTTAGACCAACGATAACACAAAACTGCCCGAACCTCTTCTCAGTAAATGATGAGTCTAAAATATGAAAATACAATGATGGATTCTCATGTTACAGATCACACACACACAGCTTATTACAGGAAAGAGTTATTTTAGTGAATCTAAAAAGAACACCATTCAATTTAGTCATTATATTAAGTATATGCACACAACATCGTAAAGTACAGAAGAAGAAATAGATATTACAATACACTAGATGATGCCGAAAAACAGTAAAAACCGTAATACATTATTGTCGAGGAGGATCTAAATGTAAAAGTAGGAAAAAGAAGACAGTGAAATAATCAGCAAATATGAACAAGGAACGAGGAGTAAAAATGGGATTACTGCTGCACAGCCAACTGCCAAATACTAGCCAACACCTGGTTTGAAAAGCTCCGAACATGTTTGTGGTCATGAAAAGTCCAAGAGGGAGCATTAAGAAAAAAATAGATCGGCTATCTAACAGTAGGCAAAAGATTTAGAAATGTACTTCTATACGCCTACTGTGAGAACGTGTAGTCAGATGCAAACAAAGGATAAAATAACGGAAATAAAAGAAACTTAATGTAACGCCTAAACTGCAGTGTAATTCGCTCTAGGATTATACAGTTCATGAACAAATATATGCTAAATTAAGGGCAAATATAAAAATCTTAGAATAGATCAGTAATTCAAAGTGGGGAAGCTCTAGTGACATCGGTAAAAATGGATAAGAACAAGAAAAGAATTTCTAATTAAGGAAAAAGATACAGAAGATAAGAATAGAATGTGGAAGAAAGACATTAAAAATAAATAGAAGTAAAAGATGAATGATTCAACAAAAAATATGAACAGATAAAAAAAACACTAGAGAACACCAACGTAGTAGGTATACATAAAAAATAAAACAAGTAGCAGAACAGAAAACGATTTGACACATAAAATAGTAAAAGAAAACATTCATAATAGATACAAATAGATATTATCAAGGTGAGACAAATACATTGAAGACTTTCGTGATAGCAGAACAATAAAACCTATAATACGTAAAAGAAGAATATGTAATATTAAAATCTGCGGTAAGATTAACATTGTTCCCGATGAATAGAAATAAAAACAACAGGGCCAGATGGGATTGGTATATTAGAAAATTTGGGGTTTGATAAAGTTATTGAAATAAAAAAAAACATATGATAGTGGTTAAATACCATAAACCTCAGCAGATCTATCTTCATAGCGAAGCCAATGAAGACATGCAAATGAATATGGATTCTAAACTAAATGAAAACGTATACCTTCAATTATGTTTAAATTTCTCAGAGGATAATGAGGAAAGTTGTCGTAGAGAGTAAAACACTCACATGATAGAGTGAAGTCAAAGGGAAAACAAACGATTTACAGCGTTTGTGTGAATGGATAACAGAACACGGAAAAAGAATGGAAAGAGGTAAAGGGTGAAATGTTACTTAAGGCAAGAAAATAAAGGAAGTTGTGGATAGCCATAATCACCAACATCCTGAAGCTGCATGATACATAAAAGAGAAACATCTTAGGAATTCTTATGCATCTTTTGCCATGACTTCTGGTTTTATTTTTTTTTTATTTCTTGACTTTCATTTGTGATTTGTAAACAAGTTCAGTCTGGCGACTGATTCAAGTATTTATAACAACACTAAAACTTAGGTTTCTCCTTTTCTTAATGGATTAAATTACAAACAGACGCCACAGATTCGTTTTCGACAGACTTATCAACCCTTTGCAGGTTTAAATATTTTTAGATTATAAGAATCCTTTTTACCTAATAAAGGTTTAGTGATGCAAGTCTTACTAATTAGCCCATAGCTTCCCCTGTTATTTACCGTGAGCTCCTTGATAAAATTCAAAAAAGAATCAGCAATATTATTGGTCCTGATCTGGCGTCTCGGCTTCAGTCACTTTCCACTGTCGTAAGGTTGTCTCTCTATGTCTTTTTCATAAATACTTTCATGATAATTGTTCAGATGAGATCTTTGCTATGGTGCCTAGACATTTTGAATTTAAGCGCAGTACTAGACTGGCGTCGAGATCTCATCAATTTACAATTGAGCCGGCTAGATGTAACCGTAAATGATATGCTAACGGTGTCTTTTCTCGTACTTCACGCTTGTGGAACTCCCTTTCGGCTCTATGCTTTCCAGGAAACTTTAATCTGCAATCTGCAAAAAATTAAATGCAATGTCAATCGCTATCTGCTGTCCTTCTGATTACTCTTTCCTCTTCTCGCTCATCATTAATGTTTCTGTTCCTAATTCTTCCACATCCTTGTGTCTTAGTGGCTTTACTGCCTTGCATAGGGATATCCCGATTAAAAAATCTTTTTTCACTATAAGAAAGAAAAGTTTCATTTATTTATTGTTGAGTAAGGGAGTATCACTTCAACAAAGTGACAGCGGAGTTCAGATATATAAATCCTAATATACCAAACATGATACGCAGTCTGATAAATGTATGCCAGGCACAAACATTACAGCCAAATGCGCTCGATATTCTGACAGATTTTGATAAAAGAAATGAATAATTTTTCAGGTGGCGCCCATCTTGAAATACATTAAATTTAAGTAAACTATTCCACTGAGACGGTCTCCGATCGAGGGTGTTCCCAAGTACGTAGATGTGACTCCCAATCCTCACCCTTTAAACTTAAACTTTCTTCGGGTATCTGTTGATCTGGGTTGAATTCTTTATTTAATCCACGTGGGTAGATTGTTCTTGTTCTGTTGTCCTTGTGTAAGAATATCTTGTCTTTTTCTCTTTTAGTACTTCTCAGTTATTGTTCTCTCTCCATCCACTGTATCTAATTCTGTATTACTCGGCCCTGAGGATTGAACTCACAATGACTCTGCCATCACATTCACGAACCGATGTTTTCATCCACTAGGCTTTTGTCCCATGTGACAATCCTGAAGCTAGGCATTGTAGCCTTAAACATTATGTTGTTTTGATTGTCTCGTGTTGCCACTGTTGCTGCTGTTGTTATGCTTGACCTCCGCCTTTTCTCATTTGTCACTGCGGCTGCAGCTGAATCTTTGATATTGTTTCTGTTTCTTTCTTTATTCTCTTTAATATGTTTAGCGATAGTTTGAAAGCCTATTCTTCATGGGCGCTTTCTTACAAATCAACCGATATAATTACTGTCAAGATTTACAGATTAAGATTGGCTTTGAAAGTGGAATCAAATGCAGTGATCTGAAATGAGGGATAAAAGCATAAACAAATAATAAACAATTAATGTATTTTCACAACTTGGAATCTACTGAGAGTTGTTAGGCAGTGCAAACGTTTACACAAATCTAGATTCACATACTCACTAGGGAAGAATGAACTGAAAAGTAATGTTTTGCAAGACTTGCCAATTAAAGAACAAAGCAGCAGAAAGTTATAAATAATTTTGAACTTTTTTTATAAATAATGTGGACATGTGGTTGTCTTAATGAATAAATACCTGGAGACTTTGTCCTGATAATTATCAAGGGTAAAGAGCATAAAAACGGTCGTGTTCATTTGTCCTTACTGTGTAAAGGGGTAAGACCCAAAAGATAGGTAAGGAAAAGACTTATAGATCTTCTACACTTTTTAAAGAATTCGATGATTAATTTGTTACGAGACAGTAATAAGTAACACAATATGTAAAAAGATAAAATCAAATGAATGATCGAACAATTTTATAATCTTTCAATGCAAACGAGTTAAATAGATAGAAATTTGTTAATATTATTATTATAGTCTTATTTTGGCAATGAAATTTGTGTTAACTTATGGCCATATCACATTGAAATACCTATTCGTACGATCACCGAAGTGAAGCAACGTCAAGTCTGGTCAGTACCTAGATGGGTGACCGCTTAGGAATGCCAAGTACTGTAAGCTTGGATGCGCGGGTGGTGTATTGGATAGAAGCTCGGAATTGGAAATCGGAGAGCCGAGTTTCAATTTCAGTCAGGTCCGTTATATTCACTTATGCGCAAATACCTTTGGAAAAGGCATGAAACCATCTCTTCAACTCTCCTTCGGCTATGAGTTGATTAGTAGAAGTTATAAGAAAAAAATCATCATTATCTCAAAAAATGCTCTTACACTCTAAATATAATTTCTGGCTTTAAATAACCTGCAAAAGTTTCATAAACCGTAAAAGCAAATCGGTCAATCGATCAAGTTTGTTTTAATTCTAAATCTCTAACAATCTTTATCGTTGCGTGTTCAGTGTGGATTAATAGTTAGTAAGCTAATCGGGTTGCCTATCACTAGTAAACTCGTTTCTCGCTGGGTATCCGATACCAGCAACTTTGTGCCAAACATAGATTTCCTAATTTTCAATGTACAACATACAGATTAAGTGTTGAAAATTGTTAAAATAAATGTTTGATTAATTTTTTTTTTAAATTCACTCTTTAATGAATTTCTTTCTTGGGTCCAACAATATTTAAAAGAGAAGCGGTAGCAGATAAGAAACACTGATAACTTTCCTCCATATTTAAGCAAAATCCTGTCAGCACTAAATTACATCCTTGCTTATTGTTTCAGTTTTGAACTTCCTCTTCGAAGTTACTGTGTTTGTAAATATGCAATCATTGGAGTGAATAGAAGTTTTGGCGTATTTGTTTAATAAATTCTCCATGATTAATACCGAATCCATTCACTCGATTATCGTTAGTAAAAAGTAAATCTCTGTTAAGAACAGTAACATTAAGCTGGAAGAGGAAAGAGGATTCAAGAAAATAGTAGATAGCGATTGACATTGCATTTAAATTTTTGCAAATAATTTACGGCTACATCTGGCCATCTTAACTGTAAATTGGTGAAATCTCGATGCCACTTTAGTAGTGCGCTTAAATTCATAAAGTCTTGGTGCAATAGCGAAAACCTTATCCAAACAATTACCATGAAAGTATTTATAGAAAAGACACAGAGAGGCAATCTTACAGCACTGGGAAAGAAACTGAAGTGCCAGATTCGGACCAATAATATTGCTGATTCTTCTTTGGATTTTATCAAGGAGCTCAAGGTAAATAGCAAGGGCACCTGATCATATGTGGCAGCAATATTCTAACCATGGATGAATGGTTGATTAATAGATATGTATAAATAAGGGTTACTAAATACAATTTTCAAACTTGCCTTGATAAAGTTCTTATTTTGGCATAAACATTTTTTCTTCTTCTCTTCTATTTATATTCTTTACAAATATATTTCTATTTGACTTTTTATACACACACACACACACACACTGTCACATATATGTAGATGTGTGCGCGTGTGTGAATATTGGGCGATATAAAAAATTTTCCTTCGTTTTTAAGTAAAACTGAGAAATACACTTTCTTGAATGACATATTTATCATTTCGTTGCATAATCTTTTACAATATTTCATTTAATTTTACGATTCCATATTTCTATTGTTCTCAAAATGTATTCCTTTAACTGCTTTCTGTTGTGTTGTTGAAAAGTGTATTTATTTGATTAAGAGAATTCCGTAAATATAGGATTAAATGGTTATCCGAATGTTTAGTGAATACGGCTGGATGAATGAAATCTTTTCAACTAGATTTTTCTGATTAGCAAAGCGATCACATCCTGATCACATGTTAACTCTTTCTGTTAACTGTGGACGAACGCTTATAATCGAAAACTGCATTTTCTTTGGTTAAATTGGGAACAGTACTTGTTCAAATCATTCGTTTAGTTCTTCGGAAGAAGTTCATAGTACTCCTACTTAATGTCTCCATATTAACATCTTCACTTTGAATGAAAACCAGAGTTTGATATCGTTGATGGTTGTTAATTTTGCTTACCTGGTGATTATTGTGCTCCACATCATTGTAAAGTGTTTACATTTTATTGCATCATCACAATTTGTTTAAAAACCAGAACAATTTCATTAACTGGAAATCACACATCAAAACAACTAACATAAGTAACTTTACAAATGATTTTACTCGATTTGGATATTTCCAATATGTTGTCTATCGCCTGTGTTTATTATTGTTACATAATGTCTTCATTTGATAGCCAGCTGATATTGATTATCAGCTGGTCAGTTAAACATTAGAGTAGTCTCAAGCAAGAAACTTCGAAAATCAATGTTTGATCACTCACAGTAACTTCACCATGAACTACGAAAATATTAATTGTATTCTGTTTGCTTTTCATTGATACCGTTGTTAAAATAAGAATATTTTTTACAATGATGTTCACTCTGTACAAGGCCCAAGAGTCACATGAGGTAGAGGGTTAATAGAGTAAGATGCATCACCCCAGGCTAGGTAATGATGCCACCAAGATGTAAGGGGCCACCAGAAGTGAAAAAGAACAAAAATAATTTAGAAGGAACTGGCAACCCCATCCTAAACAGGAAACAAGGGAGGAGTGTGAACCGAATGGCAGGCGTACCTATCTACTCCTATTGAGGAAAAAAAATTGATATGCTGAAAATGTCATTTCTAAAATTTCCATATCCAATGTCAGAATTGCTAAACAAAAATACGCCGATTTGACTATTTAAAAAAGCAAGTCGTTGCAGCTGTTGTACAGAAATGTAAAATTGAATATAAAGTGGAATTAGAGCAATTAAAAGGATAAAGAGAAACAAACAAACATTGAGATACAAAATGAAAAAGACGTGTTCCTCCAACATCAAAACAAGATATATTTTCAAAGCTCTTTTTGCTCCGACAAGAGCAGAGCAAAAAACAATGACAAGCTGCTTATTTCTGCTATGAAAATAGCTCAAAGTTGCTACGTAAACAAGAATGCATATACCTGGACAAAATACAAGTACTTCACAAGAGTTAAACGTCGACATTATCTATACATTATGGAATTAGTTCATGGTTATATATAACAACGCACGACTATCCACGGGCAAAAGAATAACAAATGAAAGACATTAGAAATATTCTTTGTAAGGTTTATATTTATTTGCAGTAAACATTTTGATATAGAAGAATGTTGTTTTAACTCCCATAAAATAATTTGTCCTATTTTTATATATAGACTAAATCGTAGACAATCCCAGCTTCAGATTTTTTGAACCACTTCGCTTATTCACGAAACCTGCCGATCATTCGATTTTGAAGAAAAAAATCAACCTTCCCATTTATTCCAAAGCTTTCGCTTTTAATCAAGACTTAAGTTTAAAGCAACGATTCTGTATTAAGAAACAATATAAAAAGCTGGCCGCCGCGAATCTGCACATAAATAAGTAGAAATCTAGGCGTGGCTGCAATGAAGCTTGTCTATTCTTAGACATCTCGTCTTCATTACGCGAAGAAAAGGCCCGAAATATGAAAGTGATCACATAGATAACCTAATGTTCGGTTGCGATGGGCCTGACACAATGAAGCTGATAGTAAAGCCGATGCTGTCCAATGTTGAGATTATCATTTAGCGCGCTCATTTCTGGGCGGATTTCGAAATGTTCTCTGAAATCCAGCACTGAAGATAAAACAGTGATACTGATGGGAAGGTGGTGGAATTTGATACTCACATACAGAAACAAACAGGTAAATACAAACACACAAGGGTAAATGTATCTATACACACGCCCACACAGTAAAAGAAACCTAGGGAGAGAGAAACAGAGAGAAAGAGAGAAATGAAAAGGAAGAGAGTGTGAGATAAAAAGAAGCTGTGAGAAATAGAGAGACAGAGTGACAAAGAGAGAGAAAGAGAAAAACAGAGTGAGAAATAAGAATTACATACAGACGTAGATATGGTATTATTTCTCATCCCATTAGCAATTCTAGAAAAAAACAGGATTACCCAAAAACATTAAATAAAGTAATTTATATATATATATATATATATATATATATATATATATATATATCAAGTGTATTAAAAATGTGTCGATGGGGAATTAAATGAAATATACATAGTGATTTTTCAAGCGTAGTTTAGATGTGGCACAAGGCCGAAAGTAGGGGCACCTACTCAGTTGTAATTGTTCTAGCGAGAAAAGCTTGCTAACCATTACATCACGTCGATGTGCCCCAAATGAAATATATATATGTTCTTTTCATCCCACTTCAAATGAACTCAAAAGATACTTTTTAGTATGCATACAATGGTTCATAATTCCAGAATCTCTCCTTCTACAACACCTCACGTCATGCGGTTATTCATTTATTTATTTATTTAAATATAGAGTTCATAAATTTTTTATTTAAAAAAAAAAAAAAAAAAACATTACGAAATCAATTGACCGAAATCGCCTTGAGATACCGAAAGGTTGAAACCAATGTAGCGGAATCAGCTGATTTCCTAATTTTCTATATTTAAAAGCTCTACATGTTAACTTTTTATCTTTTTATATCTGTATTGAGCACTTTTTTTAATACTACTGCTTCCTGGTCGAATTCAACTCAACTGATATTGTCTAATTAAACCGTAATTAAAGCTTAAGTGGTACACGGTACGTTACTCATATTTTTTTTCTAGCACGCATACTGTAATGTATTCGAAATATTACATAGTTCAGGTTCCCTAATGTCTTTTAACTTAAAAGTGACTTTATGTGAAGGGATAATAAAGAATGGTTATTTTAAAAGAAAATAAAAATTGCGCACAAAATTAATGTAAACAACTACGGAGATGGGTTGCGTACACGAAGAAAGATTATGACGAATTAAGGTGTCGAATAAAGATAAAATAATTTTATTATTTCTGAATTCTTATAACTTTTACGTACATAGAATGCTGAAGGTAAAAGAAGCTAACCTAAAGTACGCCCGAAGGGCGGCTTTTAGGCTAGTTGTTTAATAATAATAATAATAAAAAAAACAAGGATAGCAACTCAAATACGTGTGCTCTGATATGTCTGTATTGTCGAGCACTATTTTGATTCCAGCGTTAGGCTCTTTTGCTAA